GTCAACTCATGATAAGCACAATTTACCATAATCGCATATTAAGAAAAGATTTCAAAATATTAAAAGCAATTAAAAATAATAATACTTCCAATGGAAAATCACGCTAAGCAGTAGCGATTCCGAAAGGAATTGAAACAAAAGAAACAATGAAATATGAAAAAAATGGATAAATACGACAACCGAAGCTGACTTCTTCAGGGAGTACCAGCTCCGTAAGTCATAAAAGCGAAATATTTTCTATCGAGAGAACACGACAAAAGTCTAAAATTGCTCTCTCTGTACCCCAAAGGTTTTGCCAAAGTCCAGGAAGAGAATACAATACAAAATATTAAATATAAAGTACATAAAGCAAATATAGAAGAATAAAAAAAAAGACAAATGCATAAGAATAGTACGTTCAAGAGCTTACTTGAAGCAAAAATCCAATCACTATATTTCACGACTGTCTGCCAAACAAACTTTTTTTTACCACAATCACGTGATTTTTTTCTGTTCTTTTACCTTTAGAGACACCCTAAAAAGCTCTTTCCACAGTATCTATATTAAAGCTTCCCAGTATTAATGCAGTTTCAATAGATATCAATTATACTAATATTAGACATTGCACTTATATTTGTATATTTGGTACGTATCAAAACGACACCTCTTACCATAATACCAATAGTGTCCATTTCAGAATGAATTATGCATCACTGACGTCCAAAAATAATATGGTGATTTTTTTACATATCTTTCAAATGAATTAGTGACATTTGTTTATTAATTTTGCGTTACGGTACTTATCTTTTAATTCAGTTCTCTTTTATATCAATTAGTGCTAATTACTGAAATTAATTAGGCATCGTTGACCTCAATAATAGTTGGGTAATTTTTGACGTTTCTTTTAAAAGGATTATTACCATAATATTGATTATAACAGAGCTCAATCCATAATTTATTATTGCCAACACAAAATAAGCATCAAAAGGGTCAATAGTAGTACAGTGATTTTTTGCGTTTTTCTCAAAAGATTTTGTACCATTTCTATATAAATTTTGCTTTATAGTACACATAGCATATTTTTTCATTTCAATTAGTACTTATTACTAAAACTAATTTAGCATCATTGGTATTTATAATAGTACCATTTCTCCATAAATTTTCCTTTTTAGTACACAGCTTATTTTCTTATTTCAATTTGTTCATATTACCAAAATTAACTAAGCTTCATTGGAGTTAAAAATAGTATAACGATTTTTCTCTGTTACCCCCAAAAGTACTTTTTCTCCATTTTTCACTATTTTTCTAATTAAATTATTAACTAATAATAAATTTAATCTGGCACCAGTATAAATAATAGTGAAATAATAATACGGCCATTTTTTACGTTTCTCTTTTACGAACTAGTACTATTCCTACATTCATTTGTCTTTTCAATGCACCCTGTTTTTATCTCAAGTTGTTGATTTTAAATGATTTAGTTTTATATATTCACGTGTTTAAAGCATAATTATAAGCAAAATAAACACACGTTTCAAATAACTTCAGGAATGCTAATTTGGTGCCGTAATTCGCCAATGCAATCAGGTTCCTGCGAATCATTAAGTTTAAAAGACATGACGAATAAACAATGTCTAAATTTTAAAGAAAGCACCAAAAACTCTTTTTTTTACTATTTGAAAAACTATTTGATGAAAAGAAAATCGACTGTTGTCTGATTTTATTAATGTGGACTCTACCGAACGGACTAGCTGAAAATTTCGGACGAATTTCAAGTGGTCTGAATTTGCCTCATACACTTTCAGGATAGTGAAACGAAACAAAAGCTTTTTGGAGTTATAAGACGCACACGAAAACATACTCTATTTATTTATTGACCTCCAAGACAGTGAGAGAATTTCACCTTGAACTGGACACCTTACCTGAACACCTCACTTTTAGTGGAGTGGTTACGCAGGGAAACATCGTGTAACTTCTCTACTTTGATTCAAAATGTTGCAAAAATTAAATTTTCTGGGAAAAGGCTCTTTATAATTGGATCTACATGCATTTGCGAGCAAATTTTTTTCTTACTTCAAATTCTACAAGATGCTTCAAAGTCAAGAAAAAGATGCTCTTTGACAGCCACTAGCTTGCAAGCTGTGGTGAGAATTTCCACAAGCAATTTCCCCCTTAGTTCCAGTATATAAATGTAAAAAAGTAATAGGGTGCATTTTTCTCATTAATCTGATTCTAAAATTAAAAATGCTTGCAGTTTAAATCAATATTAAATTAGCAGAATAAAAAATTAAATAGGACTTCCATCGTTTTATTTTATTTATTTTTATCGATTTTTATGATACAATTTCTACTTTTTTCTGAAATACAAAGTTAACAAAGCTTAGCAATATGCAAATATTTTAAAATATGCTGTCCTACATCAACCCCCTCTTCCCCAATGCTGTCCTACATCAACCCCTTATTCCCCAAAGTGCCCCCCCGCGTCAAAACAGTAGTTTGCCTCTGACCTAAGTATTACATGGGGGGCGAACTCAGCTAAGTTATTAACTTAATTTTGCACTTTTTATGCATTTGAAAATCAAAAGAAAGTGTACATATTGATCATGTCTGTACTGAGTCTGTGACGTCATAGAACTTACCCTCAAAAATCTTTTATCACGATCTCGTGTAAACCACTGCAAAATTTATTTTCTTAATAATTGAACTATATTTTTAAACAAATAATTTTTCGTTTGTTATGTGAATAGATATGTTATGTGAATAGATTTGTTATGTGAATAGACATATGAATAGATATGTTCTTAATAATTGAACTATATTTTTAAACAAACAATTTTATTGTTTGTTATGTTAATAGATATGCAATGCATAAAAAGTAAGGCTGCATGTAGCAAATTAATAAAATTATATTATTCACTTTTTTTCCCCAAAATTAAACTTTTTGTACAAAAATTAGGATTTCCATCGAAACTCAATTTCTGATAATTAATCCGAAAAATCGCAACTTAAATCACAAATTTGATCTTAAAATAATTCTAGAAGGAACTTACAATTTGAGTGTTCTTTCAATGAGCATTACAAGCTCAAGTTTTATGTTTATGGTACATATACATGCTACATATGGTTATAGTATATGTATTATTCAGAGTGACTTTTATAAAAGATGTTTAAAGAACACAATTATTTTTCAAAGTGACTGTTTTTACTTAAATATAACGCTTAGTCAAAATTTTATTAAAATTTCACTATATAAAGCTTACTTAACGCTTAAATACGAAATGTACATTCCAATATTACATAATAACTCTTTTAAAAGATAATAAGGATAAAAAATTATTTTTTTCTGAGAGAAAAATTATTAAAAAAGAAATAATAAGTATTGATAATTTTACCGTGAGTTTCCTAGTTTATCGATATAAGTATAGTTTATCTATCTAGTTTATCGATACTTGTCTAGACAGAGAGTGTAGGGACACTTCTGAACTAATAAGTGCAAAACCAAGTGCTTAAAAAATTAAAAAATTTTAACCTTGTTTTTATCAATACAATATAATCCAAGTCTAAGAAATCAATTGGTTTTAAAATTTTAAACACACAATTTTGACAGAAAACCTTTATTTAAATGGCAGTTAGTGTTCTTCTGATCGAAAATCAATGAAATTTACAATTTAGAATCAAATAGAAAAAACTAAGTCTGAAGGAATTTTGATCCTTGTATTGATTATCTATTGCATTATACTATTCATTGAATATATGTATTCGGTTAAAAAAAATTCAAAAATAAATAAATATTTTTCTTTGACGTTCAAATAATAAAGAACATCACAAGAAATAGAATGTTATATTCATATAGCTTTCTTTATTTGTTTTTTCTAATCTGACCTTTGCCTTTTCCTTTTAAGATGTTTAGGTAGTGTATTAAATAAATTAGCTTTTCATTAAGATTTAACCAAACAAACAAAATACGAAACATATGACATTTTATACTTTATTTATCAAGAATTTAATTAAAAATATTAAGAATAATACTATGACAGTTAATACAAAACCAATTTATTTTTGTGTACCGGAAATTTTTGCAAAAATGCTTAAAAGTCAAAAATTCATTGCGTGCTTTTTTCTAGCAGTTCTTTTAAAATTTGAGAACCACTCCTATTTCTTTACTATCTTTTACTCAATTCGAAGAAAAACCCTTATATTTTTACTTTTGAAAGAACTTAAATATTTGTTCAGCAATTTAAATAAAAATCAATCTTCGTGATATTAAGGCCTTATAAAATCTTCCCGATATTACGTCTGCAGTACGCTTGTGTGATATCATGTTTCTACATAGAAATGCTATTGTTCAACATTAATCAGTTGTTTTCTGAGAGCCCAATTTTTAATTTTGGGAAAATTTTATGAAAAAAAGAATATTATCACAGTTAACCAACCCATCAACTACATAAACCCAACTTCAACGAAAAATTTCTAAAAGAATATCAGAAAAACCCACCGTAATGCTTTCATTTTTTGTAGTAAGCCTTTGTAACTTGCGAATTATCATTTTTTTCAATTAATTCTACTCCTGATATTTTTACTTTCGAACAAATTTTCTTTTTGTTTAATAACTAAACGTGAAACCCTCATCCCGATATTAAGACTGCAATAAATGTGGAACGACATTACGTTTTAAGGTGGAAATACTATTGTTGAACACCGAGCAGATGTGTTTTGATAATACAGTTGTAAATTTAGAAAAATTAAATAACTGAGACCTTAAAATGTCGAATAGTGAAATCCATTACTACTACAAAATAACAATGATATATTGTTCTCATATCTTCTAAAAACTCTCTGAACCATTACAGCACTGTAAATCCAAAAGGTTTACTGGGTACCATTTTTTCATTGAAATTGGTTATTTTCATGTGCCAGTTTTAATTATATATATTCTAATACCCCTTTGCTACTTTTTTAATAATTGTCTGCTGTTCTTTGGCATACTTTGAATCAATTTAAATGGTTTAATTTCCTTACAGATGATTACTGCAATACAACATGGGATGGACTGTCTTGTTGGCCTCCCACTAAAGCTGGAACATCAGTTATTATAAAATGTATGGAATATTTAAACAGGGTACCATATGACACTACACGTAAGTACTCGTTAGTATATCTAGTATATTTTGTTACTCGTCCTGCATTCGAAATTGCCTGTCATATAATATGGCCATTTTTTTGCATATGGCCATTTTTTTGCATATATTTTTCTAACAATATTTTGAATTGTCGGATATTAATGCTACATTGATGTTAAATTAATTTTTGAATTAAAGTTAAACTTTTCAGATTTTATCAATTATAATAAAATTTATAAATTTAGTTTGCTCACTAATAAATTTAAATAAAATAATAATAATGATAAAATTTGGTTCGCTCATGGTTTAATATAATATAAAAACTTACCTTTCAACAAGTAAAAAACATTGCTTGATTATTCACAACACTCGATATGTATGTAAACATGGTCTAGTTGAGAGCGTGGCTTCTATTAAAAAAATATGATGAAAACATACACGTAACAAGGTATGCCTACATTGAGTACCTGGACATATGGGTATTCTTGGACATAAGTTAGTTGACGAAGCAGCACGGGCTGACTCCAGTGTGATTTTCTGGGGCCCTGAACCAACTTTGGGTATATCTTCCACATCATTCAGGGCATCTATTTTCAAGCTCTATGGAAAATTTCCCACGAGTAATGGTGCAACTCGGATGGCTAAAGAGCTGAAACGCAACTGTCCAGGTGCGTGAAAGAGCTTCTGAATCTAAAGAGGAACAGTTTGAGGAAGATCATTGATCTTCTCACTGGACACCTATACATAATGGGTGTTGTATCTGATACTCTTTGTCAAGGTTGTCTTCTTGGGGAGGAGACTTCATCACATATACTTAGTGATTTGAGCATTTAGGGTAACATTGCATTGAAGCCTGGAAACAAACTACAAGACATTCCAGTCAGGTGTCGGTTTACCTTTATTTCAGCTATAAAGCTTTCTTGTTAATCATGATCTCGGGTTTTGGTACAGTAGACCTCTGGCTAATGCTGCTCTTTACAGCTGCCCAACCTCTAAGTCTATGAGGAAAATATCCAATTCTGATTGAATAGCATCTAAATTTGGAAATTTACTTTTCGATAGCAAAAGAAGAGAGGAAATTGTTACATCAGAAATAATAGTAATTAAATGGATAATGTTTTTTTTTTTTTTTTGATTTACTTTATTCATTTATCTTTTTAATAAACTGTATAGTGCACTTTTTTACTTTCCCTTAAAATGCTGAAGATAGGTGATATTTAATTATAACTCATATTTATCCAGGGCATTCAATAATAATTGCCCTTAATATATATTTTTAAGATCCTTATTACAAAAAAGTAAAAAGAAAAATTACATATTGGAATTTATAAGTTAATATTTGATCGAAGAAAAAAGCACTATTGAAACTTAAATAATTATTGCTACAGAAGGTAGGGCTAAAAACTTCAAAAACCTGCTTGATTAACTGAGAAAACAGACAGTAGTTGAAAGACAAATGCCAGAAACACTACCAAGTTCCCTCAAATAATAAAATGGTTCTGAAGGCCTTTTTATTTAATTTTATTCTTCGTTCATCTCTAGATTCTGCAGATTGTGATTTTGAGTTGTTTTTAGATTAAATAAGTTTTAGCGATAAATAATGTATTTACATTTTTAATATGAATTTTAAGAGGATGCGTTAAACGACGCCTACAAAGAGGATCCGTTGTTGTAAAAATAATGCAATGTACATTTGCAGCAGGCTATACAGAATTTTAAGGTGGTCTAATTTACCTGAACCAGGATTTAAGGCATTGTAAGGATTGAGATTAGATAAATAACGAGATATTAAAATAATAAAAAACGTAATAATAAATATAAAATAATAAAAAAAAGTTTTTATCATTCTATTACAGCGTTGTGTTATAATATTAACCCCAAACTATTTGAATAGTAAAAGTAAAACAATTATAATCATTATACATCACTTACTGTTTGAATAGTGAAAGAATATAACAGTTACATTAAAATTAATAACCCTAAGAATCTGTTCATAATATAGACACCTTTTTAGGATCATTTTTATTCAAACGGGTTGTAATATGGAGAGAGAAATTATATTCAATTAACGTACTGTATGGTACTTACTTTTCTGGTAAAAAAAACAACATAATTCTAGTTAATACAAGTAAACCAAAACATGCGGTACTTAAATCAATCATTTGGTAGTGGTTTCCTTTTGTATGATAACAATTCAAAGGAAATTTTGGTGTTTAAAATTGTAGATTTTATTACGATACATTTCGTGAAAAACACTTAACTGAAAAGTAAATTTAACCTAATAAATGGTAATTATGCCATGCTCTAAGGTATCATGATAAAATTACCAAGTTTTATAACAAATTATAAGCACATCATTTATTGTAAATTTTACCAAAATCACACCAAAGCGCTAAAAATTACCGATCTTTACCGTTCCCAAAGAGCCAGACACAAGGTAAATTCTACCATATTCTGGCAATTATGACCGTGTACGATTGTTATATTTTGTTGTTGCTAGTGAAAGTTTCAGTTTTTGATGCAATTTTATATAATGGCCATTCAGAAAATGTTCTTAAACTATATTTTATTTACTTTTACGATTAAATAAAATGGTATTTTTGAAGCATTTTGAATAGATAAGTGTTAGCAGTTCAAAAGAAATTCTTTTATTGATCTTTTTTTCTACGTTTTCAAAGAGTTGAGAAAATAAATATTTGATTATTTGAAACCTTTAATGGTATTGATTTAAAAGATTTCGTTTTAACACTTTAATTTTTTTTCCTTTCTAAAGAGTCTACTTAATGCAAAGGGATACCTGCTTAGCTTAATTCTTTTTTAAAAAAATATTCATTTGCATTAAAGATGCGTCCTACACTGGTTCCTTGGTTAAAAAAAATTATATCATTTGAGTTTATAAAATTTCTTTCTTGAGAGCTACTTTTGTGTAGGCTAAATAAGCGTGATGAAATTCCTTTTTCTTTTTTTTATTGGCACTTGGAAAAATATTTTCCATCCACTTTCTTACGCAGTCAATTACGTGAGTAGCTGAGACTGCAAGTGACAAAATTTGCGCAATGGCACGCAGACTAATATTCTAATAAAATTAATTTTAGTTTATGCTTTTTCTTGTTAGAGTCAAGTGCTCTAACAAGAAATACTATACTAAATTTATCAAGACATTACTATATTTATCAAGAATTATCTATAAGTGAGTTAAGACAACCGGTATTCAAGCTATAATGAAATGCGGTGAGACGGAGTTTGTTTAATCAACATATTTATTAATGCAAGCTCAGAGAATGTTTTTATTTTTTTGAAATTTATTAAGTATGATGTCGAGTCATAATTCCTGAAGAATAAAAAAAAATAATGAGCTGCCAATTTTACTAAGGCCCAAATTGGTTTCAAAATTGGATTGATATGGATCTCATAAGAACATCCACCGAGGTATCAATTTTGAGATGTCTAAAACTTTTAATATCGATCCTAGAATGGCCTATATATGGCCTACATTGGGTAATACAGAACCTACATAGCCTAAATAATTGATATCAAATATTTTCTGAATCTGACAATTCTGTATAGGACCAATATTGGTTATAAAGTGGCTGTAAAATATCGGATGAATCGGAAAATTCTATATCGGACCAATATCGGAAAAATAAAGGCCCGTTGAACCCTTATTGACCCAAGATTCATGAATATTGGCCTAATGAGGGATCAAGTTATTTTACTGATGAGGTGGGTTAGCATATAAAGGTTGTTGTGTTTTGTCGACCACCCCCATAACTAAACAGCTTTATGCAAAAGCAAAATTTATCTTACAAAGAAGTATTCCCTGTGAAGAAGTATTTCTAAATAAAGCAAAAAATAGTGTTAGACAGAAACGATGTGCAAAACACATGGGGACACGTTGGGACAAACAATGTGTAATAAGCTATAACATTGTAATAAGAAATAAGATTGCAATTTTATGTTGCTTAACAGAAATTGTTATAACGACTGTAAAAGTCCTATTGTGTAAAAATGTATTTAATCTTAATTTTTAATCTTTCCCTCATTCGAGACGGATTGATTGATTAATCTTCAAAACTGCTAAAAAATTCCTATTTCAAAATTCCATAATGTTTTGAATGTTACAAATAGGAAATAATTTTCATTTGATTTCTGACACATTTATTTCGCATTTAAGATAAAGATATTTATATTGTTTTGAATTATGATAAATTCTTTTCGTTCTTCACGCTTTGTTTCTGAAAAAAAAAATTCCTTTTATAGTTTATGTTAAGGAGACAAATAAAAAAAGTAATAATTTTATTTTTAAAGTAATTTCAAGAATAATCTTATTTATCCTTCGTATTTTTAAATTTCAAAATCGTATTGTGTATTCCATTTATTGAATTGGGTATAATATGAAAAAAACACAACTACTTCGATTTAGTAGGAACAACATATGACGCAATGCTAAACGAATGGAATTTAGTTGTTTATTTAGTTATTGTTATTAGTAGTTGTTGTCAATTGTTTTAGTTGTTGTTGTTTATTTAGTTGTATTTAGTTTCAATAACTTTTCTTTATAATGCAATAAAATCTGGCGAGCAGCTATTTAAACGATCGAACACTTCGTTTGTTTATTTGTGGCTTGAAGTTAGGCTCGCAGAAAATGCCGTTGATGTGTTAAATTTAGTAGGAACAACACAACCTGTGACGTAGGCTATATTATACCCAATTGTCTTAGGATGACAGGTTGTAAATTGAGCAAAACTTGTAAGCTAATCCTACAATATATTCCGTATTATTAAGTCAGAGGTTTCCTAAACCAGAACGATAAAATACTGAAACATTGAATTATCAGAGTTTAAAAATTGTATTGCATATTTTTAAAGTTTAGCTAAAGTCATTATTTTCATGATATCTTCATATTTTTATTTTTTTCCAGGTTATACAACTTTCTTGTATCATTTTTTACCATCACAATATTTAAGTTTAAAATAAGATAAATTCGTTTGCAATAAAGATAAATGGTGAGAGTCTGG